CGGAACAAGTATAAGGTTACCTACAATTATTAATCTGCCTTAAGTGATGACTTCGTCCCGAAAATGGACCAGTTACGTTATCTCCTTGGGTAGCTTCTATTTGTTTTCGGCCTAAGCTTTAAATATCATTTCCTTGAGTAGCTGGCATAGCTCATCTTCTTCCGTGCCATGTAGCAGTTGATGGAAACGCTCTACCGTGACCACAATCTGCTGCTTTGCATGAACGAAATCGAAGTATTTTTGCGTTCCGATCACGTCTGGCAGATATGCACTTGATAGACTATCCGCAATGTACATTTTTGATCCTGGCTGGTAGACGATTTGCAGGTCATACTTCTGAAGGTGAATTAGTATCCATTGCAGGCGACGTGGAACAACATAAAGTGACTCATTGGCTATAGACACCAGTGGTTTGTGGCCAGTGAAGGCTGGAGTCCGGCGGCCAAATGTATAATCATTGAAAAGTCCTACTGCATAGACTAGCTCAAGCAACACTTTCTCGATTTGAATGTAGTGGCGTTCTGCCTCTGTCAGCATTCGGCCATAGAAATCAATGGGATTTCCCTTCTGCATTAGCACTGAATCGCTGCCGAACTGGCTACTGTCACATTGGATCTCATTTGGAAACGAGGGATTATAGTAAGCTAACACAGAGGCGTCTGTGATCAAGTGTTTAATTTGTTTAAGCCATATTCTTACTGTGTGTTTCACTGCCAAATTTCGCCCTTGCGTGTCCGGTTCCTGATAGGAATCATCACGTTAGCTAGTCGGGGTAACAAAACAACTTAGGTAGTCTGCTATGTCGTTCAGCCTGCTTACAGCTTTCAAATCAATCGGATGCGGCATGTCGTTTATAACCATAATTTTGTCCGGATCTGGCTTCTCTCCGTCTTTACTCTATACGTGTTTATGTCAAACTAACCGTTTTGCGTAATTCAAACTTATCATGTTCAGTTTTGTGTTCTTGTCCGCACAAAGCTGTAAGTATCTGCGTGGATTGCGTTGATGCCCGTCTCGCGTGGCACCGAAAACAAGCTCGTCGTCCACTACACTTAATGTTCGTGATAGAACATCTAATGCTTGCACCAACCGTTTTTGGAAAATCTCATTGGACACCTTTAAACAGAATGGTAAAAGCAGCCATGGGTAACGACCAAAAGCAGTTCTAAATCTAGTCAAATAGCTGGACTCTTCGTCAAGAGGAACGTGCCACAACGCCGAAACTAAATCAAGTTTCGGTAACAATTTGGCCTTAGTAAGCATCTGTAAAACATCATCTAACGTCGGTAGTGTGTAATACTCAGTTCTGAGCGCGGAGTTTAGAGGTTTTGGATCGATGCATACACGTAATTCACCCGATATTTTTACTGCCTATCGCAACCTGACTAATCCAAGCTGTCAGTTAGTCAACTTTGACTGTAATGCCTAAATTGGTCAAAAGCTGCAATTCGACCGAGAACTTATCACGTAATGCAAAAGGTACCTTTTCGAGGACAGTACTACTATTCGCACGGATTCGTTTAATGACAAATGAGCCTCCCCTTTAAACTCCCCTACGAGGCCGTCAACTACGCATACTGTTCTACCATATATGTTTCGGCTTTACACGGGTGAACAAAACGGTCATGGTGGAAAGAGACAAAACCCCAACGCAGAATGGAGTCAATGCTCAGAATAGGCATAAGTTCTGTGGACGCAACATGAAACTCGATCAAGTGTTCTATTCCATTATTTGGATTTGTGTCCTTCATCGTGACACTGCCAATTCGTTGTAACTTTGATCCATTCCACATTTTGAGATAGGTCTGCGTTCCGTGGCAATCTGCTCCAAAACAGTATTTTTTGGGCAGAATGTTAACGCTGGCGCCCAAATCAAGCTGACCTTGAATGAGCAACGTCGCGAACACACGAACGTCCTGTTCCGTTCTCCCATGTTATTGATCGATAATTCCTGTGAACTCTGTCGACTGTCATTCTCTAGAGCATCATCCTGGCAGCTCAACAGCAACATTCAAAATGGTTCTTCTTGGAATACTTCATTTAGGTCCGACCCCATGCTGGGCAACTTTCTTTTTGTTTTAGATGAACGCGACCGCAGAATTTGCGACTAAGTTCCTGTCCATCCATCGTCTACGGTAAACATGCTCGGTTTTGGGCAATGGCTCACAGCTCTGTCGTTTTCTTCCTTTTGAGCTGTTGCTACCGTTGGGCCGTCCTCGTCTCGCTCAGGCAAATATCGATGCAATGTTCCAGAGCCAGGTTCCTTTGTTGCAAGAAATGCTTCATCAGCCCCTTCTTCTGAATGCAACTCACAATCCGGTCGTGCACCAGAGACTTCCGTAAACAATCGTAAAAATTGCATATACTCGCCGGAATCATCTGTTCTGTAATGTAGGCCTCGAACGATTCCCCAGATAACGATTTCGCCATCAAAATAAATACCTCTGGTAAGTTTCGTTCGACCTACCTTCGCTGAACTCACCAAACCTGCGCGCCACTTCATCCAGCTCAATCTCCCGATCGCCACCACTTAGGTCTAGGTTTTCCAATGTCCGTCTCGCTTCATCTCTAATGGCATGCCGAAACATAGCTAATTGGTAAGCCTTTGACTGAGCATCCAAATGGATCAGCGTCACGAAGTCTAGCCATTTCTCCTTGCACATTCTCTAGTTCTTCGGAAGCGCACATTCTGTCATCTGCAGCGGGTTTGACAACGAGATCGCTGACTGTCCACCGAACGCAGGCGGGGTTCGTCGCTTTGATTTCTTCTTCTCTGTCACCATGCTGTGTAGCCCTCCGAGAATCAAGAAGAAAGTCTGGGCAAAGATCACAAGTCTGTTATTAAAGAAACACTGGGCAGTTTTATGCTTTTACATTTCTATTCACTGAACCTTTTTCTCAATGATCCATTCTCTCCGCTGGTTTGCCTATGTTCATTGACTGACGCCCAACAGCGTGCACCAGTGCATCAGTAATAGCTTCTCTGGGACAATGGTGCACTTTGTCCACGCCTCCAAACTATTCCGGTCCGCTCATTCGGTAGTGCTCTAATTTTCTTGTTTTCTGCCGCCTCTGTCGGTTTCCGCTTGGCCTGCTAACCGTCTTCATGCGATGCGCTTTGCGCCCGGAACCTGCCTAAGTTGTCGGTGACTCGATTTGGTTAGACCCGGACAAAGAGCTTGATTGACTCACCACTCCGAAAACCGATCGCCGTTTTTCTACCATGGCTTTGTTGTAGTATTGGTTGCCCTTCCGCTTCGCTTGTGTTGTCAGCTACCATCACGGTATCATCAGAAGAAGGAGAAGCGCTTGGCCACGTAACATTATCATAGTCGTTTTAGGTAATTGACCTTTTAGCAGCTTTATATATTTGTCTACTAACCACAAAACGAAACAACCGAAGCACACGCTGACTTAACTGTTTAAGATAGATTGTTAAATACAATAAGCTTTCAAACACTACCATATTATTGCGGCTATCTACTCAGTTTAATTGTTTCCTTCTCACTTCATGCTTTTCGCAGCTAATGGCTAACTCGACGGCTATGGGACATTTTAAACAGGAAAAAAACATATTGAGGAACAAAGCTGTTACAAGCTGCCTGTAAACAATTGCGCCCAATGCAGTAAATCTCCTCTCATTACGCTTCACAGCTCCACGATGAAATCGGTATTTATCCACAGTATGTGTTTTACTAAAATATTTGGAAGGCACACATAAACTTACGATTGTGATCGCATATTGATAAATAAAGCTATATTAATCTACATTTTGTATTTCAAATTGGATGCCAAATTTTATGATTCACCTTACTCAACCAAATAATCATACGCCGTTTAAATCCATCATCAGTTTTGTGTCTACATGCAGTCGCCAGATGCACGCAAGTAAATTGCGATGCTAACTCAAGACAAGAAAATGTAACATAAGTTGCGAGCAACGTTTGCTATTAAAATCAATGTCTGGTTTAGTAGCCATTGTTTTGTTTAACACGTGTCTTAGGGAGCGCGGCAGAATTGTGATTGTATGCATTTGTGGTACTATTTGTATAATGACGTCCAAGTCCCTGCTTTCAATCTAAAGTAGAAGTTAATAGATCCGAGATGGAACAACTAGTTAAAAGACTACAGATCCCTTCATTTAAAGCCTTGAACGTCTCGGTGGAAAATACTTGATCTTTATTTAAATCCGCAACGTTATATCACTTTAAGTTGCCACTGCCTAAACCGACTAACTTAATTTATTGCAATATAAATAGAGGAAGATAAAGCTGTTTTTCATCTGAGCTCAGCTTTATTGTTTACCTCTGATACCGCAAGGCAAACTCATACAAACTAGTTCGGATAATATAGAATAGAGTGGGTAAAGGACTATTTAGATAGTTGATTCATGGAGCATATTTACTCGAAAGTTCAAGGCCAACACCGAGCGATGCCTGCGAACTGGTTTTTAACATGGGGTAACTCAGAAATTCAAGGCATTTTTCGGCATAAGGTCAGTTAATATATCTAGAAATTTGCCAAGATATTATCTAAACCCTCATTTAAATTCGGACCAGTATGGCGATCATTGGTCGATGACAGTAAAAATGAGTAACCAAATGAGCATGAACCATGCAGTACAGGCAACGTTGTTAACTTCTCTACGCACATTTTATTCCATCCGGACGGTGCTAACAATATTTTATCACTACATGGCTGAAGTGCTTCTCCGTGAGAGAATTTGATCGTTCGATGTGTAAAACTATCACAATTTCTATGGTGGTATCGTATGCTCGCATAGACAAAATGTTAAAATGCACGGGGCATTTGTTCACTTTTGGCAATAGTTGAACCATTACACCAGTTTATGCTCAGTGCTGTAGCTATACTTTGTCTGAACCAAAGGAACGAGCGAAGATTTAGTTTGGGTTAGTTAGATACCGTCATTGTCCTATGAAACTAATTGTTCTCAAAAGTCCACCATACATGTACGTTTCTTTTCTCTTTCTGTATTGCAGCCAACCAAATGGCTGACTATGTGAATCCATACCAAGCATAATATTCCTTTTGAAACTTCAGAGAAAGCCACCATTTGAATGGAAATACTGCAGCTTTTTGTAACGTTTGCCATACGAATTATCTTGCCTTGCATCCTGAGAGTGGAATGCACATTTTCGGCACAGCCATCAGAAACCTTGCGCTACTACATTTCAGAAGAGCTTCCAAAAGGCACCGTTGTTGCCTCAGGTCCTTTACTGGGATCAATCTATTCCCATTTACCGAATGGAAAACCCCTTATTATAAACCAAAAAGAGCCAGGTGTTTCCAGCTTCACATTCAGACACCAAGCAGGGGACCCTACAGGTACTAATATATTATCAGTTAGCCAATTAGTAATCAGTGATCGTGTCGACCGCGAAGCCATTTGTCCCAGACCACAAAGCATTAGTGATTCAACCCATAATTATGGTCCGGTGGATTTTCAAATCGAAACCGATTCTATGGCTCTGACAAGGGTCTTCAGTTCAGAAGACATAGAAAAGTATCTTCACAGTGATTGTGCTGTTCATATCCGAGTAGCTACATTGAACGATGGTGTGCAGAGCATCCACCAGATTACCGTATACGTCCAAGACATCAACGATAACGCCCCTGGTTGGCCGATGCGTTCCACCGTTGTGTATTTTAGAGATGGAGATCCAGCCGGAGCCAAACAGCAAATCCCATTGGCTAGTGACTTAGATGTTGGAGTGAATGCTATTATTGTATACCAGCTAAAGGTTTTCAACTCAGGTCTTACTATCTCTTCTCCCACCGGCTCGAGTCAGATTACGGTGACGGACATCTTTGAATTGAACAAAGAACCAAGCACTTCAGGTCATGTGGGAGGAAAGTTGTTTTTAGTAGCAAAACATGACATTGATCGAGAAGCTAGTCCAAATGGATGGGACTTAATTCTTTTGGCATCCAATATCGGACCCAACAGAGCTCTTTCTTCTCAGCTGCACATACACATCAACGTGACAGACGTCAATGACAACACCCCACGATTCACACAAGAAGTTTATCAACCACAACTGCCAAACCAGAAGGCAGGCATCGTCCCGGAAACAATGCCCGTCGGACAGGTAGTCGTTCGCGTGCAAGCAACTGATCCAGATGAAGGCTTAAACGGATTAGTCTCTTACGATTTTGTACCAAGTCCTGAAGTGACCACAATAAAGCATTTTTTTGAACTCACTCAGACAGGGGAACTAAGGACTCGGAATCGTTTGCAAGTGGACAAATTGCTCCATCAAGGAGAAACGTTAGCGAATCAGATCAGTTTGCCAACAGGTCTGATGACCATTGAAATTCAAGCTGTTGATGGTAGTGAACCAGCATATGCCAGAACTGGATACGCAACTGTGAAACTTCGTGTGGAAGATGTTGATGATGAAGCTCCGGTGATCCGAATTCATCCAGTTCGTCCATGGACTGATCCGGTTAAACAGGATTCAGTGCCAAATACTGCAGTCGAACTTGCTGTGTCAGAGAACGAAATAGTAGGTCAGTTACTTGGATTGATTGAAGTGAGCGACCCAGACAACGGAGAGCACGAAACGCTTCGATGTAACCTAGTGTCCACCACGGCGCATCTATTCCGTCTCAGTCAACAAGATACATCAGGACATGAATTCAGGCTCTACACTGCCAGTAAACTGGATCGCGAGAAAACTGAACGATTGCTTGTGACAATTGAATGCAGGGACTTAGTTGATCACGTTTCTTCAGTTAATGTGGGAGTTAATGTGATTGATGTGAACGATCACGATCCACAGTTTAAAGAGACTCTTTATCAATTCTCGATATTCGAAGATGATGGGGAGCAGGTTTCCACAGTAGCCGAACCACAAAATCGTAGTTGGTTAACGTCAACAGGTCGTGCGTTTGTGGAGGCTACCGATCCTGATTATGGTGAAAACCGGCGTATAGTTTATAAACTAAAAGACACATCCGACGCTATGAGGCGATTGTTCTCCATTAACCGTGATACCGGTGAACTATATGCATTAGGACCATTCGACAGAGAACAGGCTCCGGAACATCAGATCGTTGTCCTTGCAATGGACAATGGCGAACCGACGCTTACCGGTACATGTGTGGTCGAAGTCACGGTCTTGGACGTAAACGATAACCCACCTATGTTTAGCCCAGAAATCAGCTCAAGTGGCGGCTATACTTTTACTGTGCTGGAAAATCAATTACCTGGTACAAAGGTAGGCAGGATCGAAGCCTATGATGTTGATCAGTTACCTGCGCCTTTCAGTGGACTTGACCTATTGCATGGCAACCATGACAATCGCAGTTATTTGAATCAGCCTATAGAACGCATATTTAAAGAATATCTCAGGTACGGCTTACAAAGTGAACCGGACTCAAAAGCATTCTGGATTGACCCCAAGTCTGGAACCTTAATAACTCGGTAAGCATTTACTTCTCACTGGTTTTCTCTTGTTAATGTGCTGTAGTAACGAACATTCTGCATTGTATATAATAATATCCATGCTTATCTATCAAAATGATCAGCTGTTTTTGCTTATATACTCCGAAACGTGGCTGACTTTACATACCACACATAGCCTTAGCAGTGAGATCATAAGATTAAGTTGACTCAAATTAAAAATAACTTTGTTAAGATCAAAGTATCATCTTCATCTTCTGCATACATTAATGCAAAAACCGTTTCACGCATTTTTATGTATGTAATTTTATTTGATAAAAAACCTAATTCCCCTTTTATAAATTATTGTTGAAGTCACAATAAGCCATTTCAAGAAACTATGACGTATAAACATAATTTGTTTCATACCAGCGTTTGCCAACTTGGACCACATATGTAATCTGCTAGGGCCGGTTTGGGTAGAGTTTCTTACGTTTGCGGACGATAGAAAGCGCCTGAACTAATAAGCTTTACCAAAATAACAAACAACCGGCTAGGTCGCTGTACAAGGAGAGGAAAATAAATCTAACGTATGATGTTTACGAACTGTGTAGTACATGGTTTATATAAGAAAAGCAGACATTAACTGTAATGAACGCTTCTTGCTGTGTATTTCAACTACGCGAAAACCATATCTTTAAGTATACGAATCTATTTATCGTTTTGTTTACTGAAAAGACGTCCACCCAGCCCCCGAATGGCCGCGAAAACAGGGTAAAAAAAGGCAAAATGTTCGGGCTAGGCTTATTGCTGTGGGCTGTAGTGGTACCAAATTTTATACTTTTCTGTAAATCAGTAAAGTATACTTTTGGAGGCTAGCCTCGTATGCACTAATCAGCATTAATTGTAGTCAATAGTCATTAGTGGCTAAGTTGTTTGATCCTGTCCTCACATATAAAATGCCTTTTAAAGTTATATGTATGTATTTTGTTTTAATTACTGTTTTGAAGCAGTTTTTCGTTCTGAGAAACTCGAAACGGTTCGTTTACTGTTCCTATAAGATAACATCTTCTCTTTGCAGTTTGTTGGAAAAGCTTAAATTTCCCATCAGTAAAAATTTCAATTTACTTACTTAGAGCAAATTTTCATGTCCATTAGAATAATACGATTAAGAGTATGACCATATACCGTCTCTTTCCTCTAGACGATTTAAAATTACTGCTTGAGTTCCGTTTACATTTAGCTGTGAATTTCTAACACTAAATTATAGACACCAGATGCAAAACCTGCTCAATTGGTGCTCTAGACCCCTTTCGATAAAAGAATGGGTATGAAACATTGTCGTCAGGGTTAACGTAAGCAAATAATTTCATTTTTGTTCATAATCCTTAACATGATTAAAAAGTTTATTTGCTGAAAGCTGAAATTATGGGATTGAGGCGTAAGTTCTTTACTGTGCTACGAGCTTTCGTTTGCTAGTCAGTATATTCTACATTCTGGTATCATTCCGGGCGCTGTCCAAATAGTTTATGTATGCTCGGTGAAGCATGATTTGTTACTCACCATTTACCCACAGTGAGTAAAAACTGCTGGTCCACAAACTACACTGTACTGGCAGCTGCTGTTTTATATCTTGTTTATAAATATTATGCTGATTTTGTCCTGATGCCAAAGTAACTGGAACAGGATTCGCCACCTGCACAAAGAGAGACTTGATAACTTGTTAACCAACTTGTGCAGATCTACGGAGTTTTCGCACTTGATTTCTAACATAAATGATCTAAACAGTAATGGAAAAGCGTGAGTGATCTAAGTAATAATGAAGAATAGACGATGTATGCGACAGTACCTTCGTTTAAAAAGATGCCACGCGCGTCCTACTGGAACCTGGACAAAGAACGAATGCGTTGTTTTATTACAAAGCCTTTAAAAAATATCGTTATTGTACTTATCAGTAGAGAAGTGAGTCGGAACATTCGAATGCGTAAACCAACAATTCGGACGCAGTGCAATTATAACAATGCAAGTCCCTATTGTGTTCCATCGAGTACACTTCTAAGTACTAAACATCTCTTGCACATTCATTAGTTTACCATTAAGACAATGCTACCGGCATTCCATTAGATGACTTCTGTCCACGAAAACAAAGCACAACAAACCTTTTTTTCATCAGCCTTCGTTAATTAGATGTCTACCTGTGTTGCTTTGTGTCCGGATTCGGAAACTGTCGAAATTATAAGATGGGGTCTGCACCTACAAACATGAGGTGATTTATTTTCAAAATTCTTAAGCCATTTCATGCGCATGACCCGTTGGTAATTCCAAATAAAGTAGCTCGTTTTAACTCATCTTGGTAATCTTCATGAGAAACATTACATGCTTGCGTAGAGGTCTAACAATGTGCATATACCGAACTGAAATCTACCGACTTGTTGCATTGCCATCCCACATTTAATATAAGACCCAGTACGTGTTTGGACTTGCCTCTAATACTCCAGCTCATATACAACGGTTTGTAGTTAGCATAGATGCGAAAATTCACCTTAAAGCCTTGGTGCATCACTGTTCCGTTTCTGCTTGGGATGGCGTCAGAATTGCAGAATTATTCCTTTAATAGTAGACTGCAAGTGGTTCAGTCTGGTCCAATTCAGGAGTTCGGTGTTCGAAATTTTGTCTTGTCTACCTTCGCCTATTCCTTAGTAGCCATATGTACTTGCATTGCAGCTATTTATTGGAAAGCTGTTGCCGACGTGCTCTTATAATGGTACTCGAGGTCATCATAAAATTGCTGAGTAGTGAAATGCACAATATAACATCAACGAACTTAGTTTGATCTCTATGTGGGTGGAGCTACAATTCAGGGATACGAAATCTTACATATTTTCGCAGCTTTTCTTTTAATTTATGGTATTTAGGTCGAATGAGCTGCTACTACTAGTGAGTTACACAATACGGATAAGTTGTGAGTGGTTAATAAGGAAGCAATAAATTCCTCATTACGAATTCACTACTGGGTTTAATGTTTTGTTGTATGCCACGGTTTTTCGAAGGTCTTGTTTGGCACCTTGGAATATGAAAACTGTGTACTCTGAATATCCTTCAACTGAAGAATAATTGGCCCGACCGGTTTAACTTAATTAGATCAGTAGAAGCTATTCATTTCGTTTGTATATGCACTTAACCACCTCACCTAGACGGGCTGTGACAAGCAAAAAAAAGTAAACGCGCAATGCTGGGAAAATACGAGAACACTGTCAAGATAAACACGGTTGGGAAGTACCTAGGGTTAGAATGTAAGCATTTGAGGCAACGAGACTGGTTACAGTGCCGCGGTCGATCCAGCGTAACCTACGTGTTTGTCAAGACTATTACCCGCTGATGCAAGAACAAGGGGGCCACTTCAGGAATGAGCACGCACTAATATCGCAAGCCAATACAGGTGAACCACAAAGGTAAGAAATACTAGTAAGGCGGATCGTTTTTCATTTGAGTCACTGTTGAATTACGACCGTAGCGAAAATTCCGATAACACGGCAGTAACCATTAATAATCCTAAACATTGACTACATACGTTAAATTTCAACATAACTACATAAAATAGTATTCTACCTAACTGTTGTCCCAACCCGCGCCAAAGTATCTGTTAAATGCTTCATCAAATCTTATGTAGCTAAAAACGACCAATTAGACGTTTTAGGCATAGGTAGCTTACTTTGTTTATTTTTAGAAGAACTGTGCAGTGAGGTTGCCTGTCTTAGCAAAACAGCTTGTCTAACAAAACCGAATAATATCTAATAGATTCATTCGTCTTTGTATCCTAGCATCCGTACAACTCGGAACTGACAAATCTTACAAGTGCATACCTAAGTGCTGAGCGCATTTAAGTAACTAAATCTGGCAGAGGAGTAGTCGAACCGGTATTTTCGCTAAATGTGCATACTTTTATACTAAGAATTGAAGCTTCCGCAAACCAGCTTCGACTTGCTCGCTTTCGTGATTAACTGCTAATGAGGTGCCTTATACGGTCAGTTCCGGTGTGCCGACAAATTGTCAGTCTTTGCGTCCGTGAGTCCAATTCGAATGTCATAGGATGTGTCTATGTAGCCGTGCGCAAAACAGGAAGCCAATATTCGTAACACAAGTTTAGAACAATATTTTAAACGTGACACTTCATTTAGCTCTGAAAGAAAACACTACCGCTAATTAATATTACGCGGTATCATTTTAGAGAGAATTTGCAGTTGTGCTTAAGGCACCAAGATGGGAATATTCGATAGCTTAAGTTAATTCAGCGGAAGTATTTTGCTCACAGTGAAACCCCTATATATATTGCAATCTGCATAACTGAAATAAAATCGACTCAATTATATTTACCTTAGATATATTCTAATACTTCTTTTGAGATTACTGCAACAGCTGTAGAGCCTGCTTTTTAAAAGATTTAGAGCAGCATTCTAGGTCTTGCCTAGGAAGAAGTGAATAGTGATAATTGTTCAGTTATTATTTGGTAGGGTTATATTGAAGGGTATATTCCAGAAAATATATCGATACTGCGCTTTTTCATTCGACATCTATAATAGTACAATAGAGTAAGTGCAAGAAAGATGCAATATCAGCTACGGTTTAACTAATCGCTATGCTTTGGATGTAATTTAAATCACGGCTTTCGTGAAGAGTGGCACATTGAATCAGCACCTGGGTGTATTTACTCTACAGCTATTAAGATTTACAGTCCATCATTCTGGAGTTCAAAGCAGTATCTGTCCTGTTGATGTACCATCTTCCAAACCTACAGGTGAAATTGTAAGTACATTGTGAACTGAGGCTGACAGCTTTTTCACAAATATCATTTTTTATACACGTCACGTGGAGGTGGGAAACACCTCAGGTACTGTGCCGCAATACATAAAGGAAAACAAAAATAAATACAACAGTTGCATGTCAGCTGAGCTACCAGCCACGGATAGGCATCGTTCCGGTAAGCTACCAGCCGGCTACTAGGCAAAAAGGAATATTATTATGTTTTACGCTACGAAATGAGA